CTTTGCTGTGCTGGGACAGTAGGTCTGGCCTTGTGCAAGATCTGTACCTACCTCTCCTGACTACTGAAATTAGGTGCGTGCAGGCAGGAGTTGCCTTTTCGTCATCTTAGTGACAGCTCAGAGAAAGCTCAGGAGTTAGGCATAGGCTTTTGTTTTGAAAAAAAAAGGGAAATAAAACTTTTTTTTCTCAGCACCTCTCCCCCAGGATTTCCTTTGTTACCGTATATTTCTCAAAGCTTGTTGGATAGGCCTTCACATTTGGGCCCATTGTTGAATGTCAGGATAATAATGTGTGGTTAGGTTGATCCAAGTTTAGGGTGAATAGACAATTGTGCTTTTTAAACCTGAGGCACTGAATAAGCCTGCACTATCAGGTAACAGCAAGGTAACATCACAAATAGCATGCACTGATTCTTTTAGCAAAGTTCTGTGTTCATGTAGCAAAACAATACATGGATTGATGAATTTGTACGGCCGCTTCTTCAAAGAAAAAAAGACGACCAAAGCCAAACGCTAAAAAGGCAAAACACGGTATTTAACCACAGCTTGATCATCCACTGCACGCCCACCAGCAGCTTCTCACACCACTCACGCCTCACACTGGAGAGCGCAGGATGTCATTAGCATGCTATGCACTGGGATGAACAGCATCTCAGGAGGCATCTCCCCTCGCTTGTGTTGATTCATTTAAGGCAGTTTCTTTATCGATAATGTTGAGGAACACAGGCCACTGAGAAAATGCCAACAAGGGTACCTGGATTTACATGGCAGATTTCCTCTCCCGCAGCTGCCGAATGAGTGCAACGCAGTGTCTGAAGCACGAGTGGTTAAACAGTCTGCCTGCCAAAGCCAAGAAGTCCAAGCTCCGCCTGAAGTCACAGTTGTTGCTGCAGAGTTACATGGCTCACAGAAAATGGAAGGTAAATAGACAAAGTCTGGCAAATCTACTTCCAGAGGTTAAATCAGCTCAACACAGGCAGAGCCATTCCCTCCTTTTTTGTATGTTCGCTCACTTTTGCCCACAGGTTTCTTTCTTGTAAATATGAGTTTGGGAAGTCTGTTTTCAGTTGTAAATTTAAGTTGTTGGGTTTTTTTTTTTCTCCTGCAGAATGATATTGTTCCTATTTTTAGCAAGTTTGGTTTCAATTTTTACTCCTCCTGATTGGTGTTTAGAAGTTCTACATATTTTTTTTTCATTAAAAGTTCAAGAGACTTCAGATGTACTTAGCTTATATGAAATGTTCTTCCTCTTCATATTGGAGAGATTTTTTCCATTGACAACAGTTGCATTGTTCTGTTGTCGCTATGAAGTAGGGATACAACATAAGGCAGTTTTGTGCGTCCCATTACACAGAGTAGAAGTTGGGGAGAGAGAAAAAATGAGGCTTAAACCCATCCAGAGAACTCTTCGGGACCTTTCTGATAACCCCATGCTCCTTCAGAACTAAGTTTTATATGAAGAAGTGATAGATAAGAATTTCTATTGGAGTCTCTGTTGGATTATAGCTAATCAATGCTGAAAGGTGAACACAGTGATCTTGTTGCAAACAAGCCTGTGGAAATGTGCGGAAAACTCAGTGAGGACCATTTCCTTCTCTTTTGTCGCTGGAGTGTAGTAATTCTTTGCCAAGGAGTTAAATCACAGGGTTACACTTTTTCCTGCACTCCAGCTGTTTGGTTGCAGAGTTCTGCACTTGTATTTTAAAAAATACATAATCTAAAGATGTATCACTGTACAACTCGTAATAATGCTGCAGCAGTTCACAGTACCAGCAGTCTGTTCTGCAGCAATGAGTGGTTCCCCAGCAGGAAACTGTTCTGCACTGCAGCTCACACAAGGTGTGGGTCACTAGAGGTAAATCGATTTACCAAGAAGAAAAATCCATGTCAGATACAGAAAAGGTCCTTTACCTCAGTTGCATTCACACTTGGACTGTTCTGTTTTGTTCACAGAAACATTTTTATGTGGTGGCTGCTGCTAACAGGCTGAAGAGATTTCAGAGTATGTCTGGCAAGCTTGCATAAGCTTGTATGAAACATCTACCACTCTTAGAGATGGATGTGAAGCCCTGGAAGAAGGACTCAGTATCTTCAATAATTTCTACCCCTTTGTTTTATAACATGAGCTTTTGGGTCTGTCCTCCTCAAATATTATGTGTGTTAGTAGTGAGGTTCCAGAAGTGCCTCAAGGAAGAGGCACTGAAATACTTTCTAAAAGCAGAAGCTACCTTGTTTGTTTTTACAAGTTTTTAGTTGTTGTACATAGTGATGGAAAAACATGGTTGTTACTGGGGTAATTTCTTGCTGAAGGCTTTGATTCTGCAGAATATTGTTGGTGTTTCTACACCAGAAAACACCTTGTCAGTTTTCTGGTTTCTCACACCAAGCATAGGATCTCTAAAAACTTTCTTCGTGACTGATGTATGTTGTCAGTTTAGAGCACTGCCAGAAAACAGTGGCACAATTTTTCCCTCTGATGTTTGTTACTTAGAATGAAAGACCTCAGACATCCTTTTCTTCCGGAATTTTTTCCAGAAGATTTTTTTTTTTTAACCCAAACATGATGATGATTCAGTGCAACTACTCAGAGTTGAATGGTGTTGGTTGTTTGGCTTTTTTTATTCTACTCTCTCCTTCAAAAAATAGTCACTGCATATTTAGGAAATATGAGGAATCCTGGTTTGAAGGAACTTAAGTGAGTCCGTCTATTGCTGCTTTTTCTTATGTTGAGTTAAATTGACCTGAATTGATTGAACATTTGGAAGGAGATATGTGAAACTGCTATAAATAAAAAGTGCCTAATGACTGTTGGGTCTGTGCAAAAAGATCTCATGTTGTCCAGAAAAGCTTTCCAGACATTGTTTTTAATGTATTTAAAAACTTGTCAGTGCTTCTCATTGGCTATCACTGCAGCCCTTAATTTTGTAAGTTTTAGTTTGAGGATTTTTTTCTCCTCTGACAATTTCAATGAAGTCTGAGAAGTTGGTAAGATTTAATATGCGAATTATGTTTTAATTCTGTTCAGTGGCAGGGAAATGGTGTGTTGCCAGACTCAGCCTTTAGGCCAGTTAGGAGGCTGAAGCCCTTTTTTCCACTACTTTGCTCTTGAACATTAAACATTTTCTTCACAACACTAACTTATTTTAGATTTTACACTTTTTCCTGATGTATAAAGAGTTGGAGTTAATTACAGTCTCTCAGCTAAAAGTAACATTATTTATTAAACCTGTAGTTTCCTTTATTTGTCTTCTGGATTCTGCAAAACTTAGTGTGAGCTGGATGGGCTCTTAGGAAAAACAGAAACTAATACCTTTGCTGGAAAGACAGTTTTAGTAGTATCAAACCACTGTAAAGCTCCCTTTAATTTTATGGACTTCTGTGTCCCTTGAATTAGCAAAAGGGTTGGTTACTAATAAAGAGATTTGTAAGGCTGGCTTACCCTAGTCCAGTTACCTTTTCCACTCTAGTGCTTCTCATGTTGCATAGTCCTAAATTCTGGACTTCTGCAGCATTTCCAGAATTGAGACAAGAGAAGAATTATTAAAATCAAGAGAAATAATCTTGACAACGTATCACCTTCTGTGAAGGCCCACTTTTGTTCATGTTTTCTTCCACTGTGGTTCTGCGTGCTAAATGTGGTAATATTAATTGGTCTGTATATTTCTGAATTAATACTAATAAATTCCATCAAAGTGGAACAAGCCTATTCCTCAATTTTGGTTTAAATCCCCCTTCCAAACAAACCTCAAAGCATCTCTGAGTAGGTCTTAACAACAGAATGCTAATGTACTAGGTTGGATTCTCTCCCATCCTGAGGACCCTCTACTACATACTAGATCAGACTTCAAACAGCAGACATTTTGTTACAGCTCTTACTCAATGTGGGTTATTGATCCAATATTTTCTCTGCACATTAGGCATTTGTTTGGAGACCATTCCCCAAAGTTAGTTACATGTCAGAACTCTCATCTGGAATGAAATTAGCTTTTGCTAATTAAAGTAAAGTTGGCTTCAAGTGATGTCCTTTTTTATGCATTGTGAGAAGTGAAAGGAAAATGGCCAGTGAGTCTTAATTTTCCAATTACTGGGTGATTCTTCCTCTGTATTTGTAAGAGGGTAACACAGATGCTCTCTGCTGTCTTGTATGTATTTCTTGTCAATTTTCTACAAAGAGAAGGTGCATCTGCACAGCAGGATTACTATTTTCTAACAGAAAGAAATCCCTTTAGACTTGGCAGCCATCACATGGTTCTGCAGTACAGTGAAAACCACCTCTGCACCACAGCCTGTGCATTTTGCTTTGGGGGTCCACAGAAAGCTAAAAGGATGAACCACAGGTGACCTGAGTCACTATGACAAAGTAAGTATGACAAAAAGAACTGGCCCCATACACTGATACCTAAAGCAGTTAATGATATCAACTATTGTAGTCCTGGTGCGATGTGCCACGTAGGTAAGCAGGGACTACGTGCAGCAGTGAGGCATTTGGCAAGTCATTAAAACACTGTTGAGAAGAAGCTCAGATGGGAGCAGTGTTTCAAATCTAAATGCTCAGACATGAGAATTTATCTTGCTTCATATGGACACTTAAGGTTTTCTGGGCTGTTTTGAAACAAGGGTTTATGAAAGAACTTCTCTTTGCACACAAAGGGCAGAAGACTTGAATTGGTTTCATTATAGTCACACCAGCCCTGTACTGCTCAAAGTTGTGATTTTTCTTCAAAAAGTCATTAACACAAATTGTAGTTTGAGTAGCTGGGCTGGAAGTGTAGGACTGCAGAAGCTGCCTAGAACTACAGGGCAGAGCACTCTCCTCTTTACTAAGTTTTGTGAGATGCAAAAAAACCTGTATTACCCAGGCAAGATCCTTGTCCCCTGCATATCTTTCTCCTTACAGCACAGACATCGCCTGTATGCCTTTTATTTTGCACTCTAAAGGTTTTATAGATGACACATACCAAGAACATGCTGTCATAATACAAAGCTTCCTTCCACTATCTTTATTGTTTTTTGGAATATTTAGGATGCCTTACAAGCACAAGAAATTTCAGTCCCATACAGATCATAAAAATAAATCAAATTCAGTGACTAAACTATTTCTTCAACAGTAAAAAAAATATATATATATATTCTTTTAATTCCTCTGCTGGTTTTGCACTTTGACAATGAACTTTTAGTCCCCTCTCATTTTTTTCACTGAGTCCTTCCAGCCAGGGGCACAAGGACATGTAACTTGTAACTTAAAAGTTATTTACGCTTAACACAGCATTAGAATGTTACCTGCTTCTTGCAGCAAGAGAAATGAAGCTATTCTACCACCTAATGCCACAGCTGCTCAGGTACCAGCCTGGCAAGTAGTCAGACAGGCTTCTTGTAAAATCACCTTAATTCTGGTGTCATTTATTAAAAATAACATTCTTAAATACTTAAAAACTAGCAAATAAATAAAATTAGCTGGCTACCAGGCACCCATCGCTCATATGTCACTGGAACTCTTGTTAGAGCAGAGGGAGAGTTAAAATTACGAGCAAGCAGCACTGGTATTACTAAGTGGCACGACAGAGACTGTACTCCTACTCGTCTCTTGTGCCTTAGCAGCATTCTCCAGGATTTTCTTTTTCCATTCTTCATAGTCTTGCTTTGTTTCGGTCTTTGGCCGTTTACATGGCATCTCCTCATCATCTTCAGAGCCTATGAGAGAAGGACAAAGTCCAGGACGGGGCCATCATGGCAATAACCACGGTGAGCAAACATACAGACACAAGCACAGGGATTGTCTCTGTATTATCTAATCCTGTGGGTTGCTGCTGCTGTAACCTGCTGGGACAGTCACCTCTTCACCTTTGTGTCTGAATGGAATTGTCCTTAATTCTACTAGGACTGCTCAGTATAAACACCATTGTCCTTCTGCTAGGTTCTCTTTGTCCTTTCTTTAGCCAGTGGTTTGCAGAGTGGGGTAAGCTGCTGTGAACTGGTATTATGGCATATTACACAAATGAAATACAGGACCTGAGGAAACAGGATGGAGCTGCGTCGGGCAGTTCAGATTTGACATTAAGGAAAGATTCTTCATTGAGGGGGTGGTTGGTCACTGGACCAGGCTCCCCAGAGAAGTGGTCACAGCACCAAGCCTGTCAAAGTTTCACGGAGTGTCTGGACAATGCCTGTGGTCATACAGTTTAGTTTTAGGTAGTCCTGTGAGGAGCAGGGAGTTGGACTTGGTCATCCTTATGGGTCCCTTCCAACTTGAGATACTCTATGATAAAATATTATTAAGCAGCAATAAAGCCCAGGACTGCTCTGGTGAGCTAGTTTTAGTTCACAGCTAAACACAACTTACCATCTTCCTTCTCACAGTACTCCAGGTTGGTGTTCAAGCTTTCAGCTGTCTCTGCAGCCAGTGGAACACCTTCTTCTTCTAAAAAAAATAAGTAAGTTGCTTTACTTCTGAGTGGTGTTTGGGGCCCCAAGGGTGGTGTTCTATATGCAGTTCTTTGACAGTAGTGCCACCTTCTGAAAGTGGTGTCTCCCAGTCACAGCAGTTCCCTGGTCCAGGCTGATGGCCAAGCTGTACAAGCAGAGGTGCCAGCACACTTCAAGGATTGCAGACTAGTTGTCTGCTTTAACTAGCACTGCTGCTGCATTTGTAACCACAATGATCCACCCTGTTCATCCCCTAAAACCACACTGCTACCCTTCTTGATTATTCAGGCAGGATTATCGGTTAAATCTTCCCCTTCTGTCCCATTTCCACACTTTGTATTATAGATGCCCACAACATGGGGGGTGGGGGGCTGTCTGTGTATACAGATGCATGCTCTTCCCTGAACTGATACAGAAACTCTCAGCTGCCTTTAGCTGCTTTAGTGGTGGGATAAGGTTTTGGGTTTTATATAGGGCACTGCACGATGGGAAGGTCCACGCCTAGGGAGAGAGCTGCAGCTTTTGGTTTGGATTCAGGCAGCACATTCCAGAAAACTTCATGATATGAAGCACAAAGACAGGGTGAAGCAGATGTACTGTCAGTGGGAGAGTAAGAATGAAAGCCTAGGAAAGGAAAAAGGAGATCAGTAGGAAGGAGCAGAGATAGAAGCATAGGAAGACGTGTGTCATATTTCAATCTTCCTCCTCCACAAAAAGGAGTGGAGAGAGCTGCAGGTTCAACAACAGGTGAGAAAGATTCCTCATGTCTGCCCACTGTATGTGGAGGGATGGTGTCCGGTAATGGCTGAATTACCAGAAGAGCAAGGCTTAGGCTTGTTAATCCTGCAGTGGGGGAAAGGAAAACACCAAAATGAGTCAGTCAAAGCAACAGAGGTAGCAAGATGTTTATGTTAATTTGCATGTCATGTTGCCATGTTAACAGGATGCAGAAAGCAAGCAAGAAGGAGGAATCCAAGATAGGTCAGGTAGTATGGGAGAAGCAGGAAATAAGTCGCAGCAGCAGAGAATGTGAGGAGCAGCGAGCATTTGAAAAGAGAGGAAAATATTTATTTTTGGCCTTGCCACGTGCCAAGATGTTGTGATTTCCACAGAAGCAATTGCTGTGACTGGGAACTGGGCTGCAGGAAATGGGTGGGAATGGATGGGCAGGTTTGGCTGAAAGGGACTGGCTGAAAGTGATCAGAATGAAATCACTAGTAGAAAAGGATGGGGCACTGTGAGGTTGGGCAATGGGTATGCTGTCTCACAGGGATAAAGCCAAAGAACTTACTGCTGAGTTGCTGGCTCATCTTCTCCAGCTGATTGCACAGCCGGTCAAATATTGCTTTTTTTACACCTGATGTAGCTAACATTTTAGTTTTGTCCACTTTTAGCTTCAAACACCTACAAGAGAAAGTTAAGTTATCTCTGTACAAAGCAACATTCCAGCGACTATCACTCTAGTGAGGTGACGTTTACTATACCAACATTGCCTGTGAGAATGAGGAAGGTAGGGGTGAGTTTTTGTCCTATCAAGTCCTTGTCTTACTCAGAAACAACCTTGCTTAAAAAACAGACCCCTGCACCACTCGGTCAATACAGTTCAGAAATTGACACCCAGGGTTAGTTCGAGTTACATGAGGAAGTTCTATTAGGAAAATGTACTTTTCAGATTTTGAGGGAACTGGGACAAAATCCTGTTACTACCACAAGCTGAACGGGACCCCTCTGTCAAGAGAACATTTGTCAGGAGCTGTGCAACTACACGGCACCTGAATTGCTTCGTGACATTGTTTCAAGGCATAATACTGAGGGAAGATATTTGCAAGCAAACAAATTCTCACAAAGGGTTGGCCGAGTCAGGTGCTCCTGACACTCATCTTCTAGGCTGATGCAGGCCTACAGCCATTGGATCCATCTCCCAAAGGTTTATCCTTCTTCAGAATGGCTGCTGCTTTGTGCTCAGAAGTAAGCTAGCAGCCATTCTTGTACCTTGAGCAGTATCTCACCAAACGCCACTTTCTGCTTTGTGCCTAGCTCAAATCTATCCTGACAAGGGAAAAAAAAAATCCTACTAAATCTGAAAATGTTAGGAAAAAACCCATAAGGAATTATGTTATGCTGGTTAGGCTGAAAGGAAGGAGGGTGACGTGCAAAACAGTAACAAGCTCTTCAGCCACTGCCATGGATATGTCCTAATGGAATTACCACAGCATCCACTTACGCACCAGGGAAGACAGATTTCATCTATTTTAGGACAAGTAACTCAAGGTCCTTTTCTGTGTATTTGATATACTACTACTTTCTCCTGAAGGACAATGCAGTATAGGTTGGAAACTTCACTGTAAGGAAAGACCTGGTTTGCTACAGCTGTCTCCATTTCCAGGAGTAGGGCAGCAGGACATGCTAAGCAAGACCCTTCAGACTATTCAGACATGCTGAATGAATCAGCTGCTTAAACTGTAAGCACTGTGTCCGTTTGGTGTCTCACGAGGCGTTTAAGCCCATAGAAGATCCCTCAAGCTACACTGACCTGCATGCAGTGAACAGCGCAGCTGTTACAAAAAGTGGTTTTGAGAAATCAAGGTCCATTTGCTGTGCTTCAGAGAGGCTGGATTCATACCTAAAGAACAACGAGAGAGATACTTGTATAGTGCATCTGCCTCAAATTAAGCTGCTGAAAAATTCATCACATGGTACTCAGCAGTTGAACAGGTCTCCTGTTGGATCACTTGCTCCTTTGCAACCCAGTCAAGCAGAAACAGCTGCCACTGGCTGAGAAGAGAAAAACAGACTAAGGAAAAGAGAACTAGGATCACCTCTTTTATCTGAATTAAAGGTACTTTAAATTAGGGATCTGGATCAAGGCATGTCAGTAAAATCTATTTATTGTGCTCCCCATTCACACAGCACTTTCTACATTACATCTAAAAGTTACAATGAGATGCATAAATCCATCCTATAATAGAGGGTAGAACTGTAGTTCCTTTGATTCCTAACATGTATCTTACACAGATGAAGGCTTAAATACAGAAAATCACATGAATGATGTGCAGCACTAAAGAATTTAATTTTTTGTTGTCCACCTGTCCCCAAGCTATTTTTTTTAGTTTGTATTAAGCACTGACAAGCATCCACAGCCTTTGTTCACCGACCTGCAACTCAGAATATTCTAAATCCCTAACAGCATTTAAACGTACGCTATCAGGGTGACAGCACTCCAGAACAGAACTCTTCAGTGACTGCTCTTGTTAAAGTAGATGTTAGAGTGCGACATTTTAGTTAAGTCTATTGAATGTCCATTGAAGTGTTCCACCTATTGTTTTTACAGGTAGAGTTCTGTGCATGGTAAGAGATCTGCTTCTCCAGAAAGGAGGATTTGTTTCTACTGAACGTTGCTTCTGAACTGTAACATGATCAGCAGTTAAATGGAAGAGTGTGATGCTATGGACAAATACAGGGACTAAGAGTCCTATATTTTTCATACTATTCCCAGAACTGGGACTCACACAATGGCTTACTGAGATTCACAGACTAAGTTCTTCTAACATGTATTCTAAAAAGTGGCATAGATAAATGGCTGGAGTGTCAGTGCTAAGAACTCACCTCACCACTCCAGTCAAGCTCTTTACACATCTAACGAACAAAGAACCTTAACTAGTGGTTACCCGTGTGCTCACAAGAACTTCCTCACCTCTGTAGTATTTTTGAAGCGGTGCTCACTGCCTCCGTGCAGCAGAATTGCACAGCCAAGTCTTGCATTCCCAGTCTGGGATTCACCTCTAGCAAACACTCCAAAGACTTCATGGAGCTCTGGTAGGTTGTCTTGTTCAGACCAGAGAGTTTCACAAAGTAGCTCTTTCAAAAATACAAAGACAAATCCCAAGAATTAGCAAGATTCCTTCCTGACATCTTATTTAGGCAACCAAATAGATTAAAGAGAAACTACACAACACAATAAAATAAAGTTCAATTGCTATTATTAAACATATTTACACAATGAATGATGTAAGTTTTGACTGCACACAGAAACATTAACCATCTAGGAATGCCCTATCTTTTAATGCAGTTTTAACTTTGGACCATTTCACTGGCAGTGAGGTTCGTCTTTTCCATATGATACGACACGGCCCTTTTACTACAAGTGGTTAAAAACAAAGGTAGTCAAGATCTGGGCAACTTGAAGAATTGAGCAATAGTTTCACGCTACTCCTAATGGAGTCAGGTCAAATTAAATTCTTCTCGGTCTGTGAACAGATACTCATGAACATCTTGTACTGGGCATTATTTTGGCAGCTCAGAGCCATTTACGTGGCTGGTCTGCAGATGGAGATTTAGAGGTACCACTATGGAGAGGGATTCCTTGGAGCCACTGCTTCCCTCCCACAGTAAGAGGGACAGATCTTAAATTTAACATCCTTGCTGGTACTTTTTTACTAAAAGAGCTGAAATTAAAACAAAGGAAGCTCAACTTGTGAAGTGACTACAACACTGATCTCAATTTGTCCTGTTTCAAACTCTGAGTAGTGAAAGGTCGAACTGTGTTTAGCAGCACGCTGGGTCTAGCGTAATGTCAGTTAGTACTATCCCTTTCCTTCTCCCAACATACTCTACACGGAACAATGATGTTAGTGGGCTTATGGAGAATCCATCAGCCAGCCAATTCAGATATTGTATCTTACTTTGTCAACTGGATGTTTCATGAAACTAGCCGCTAGGTCCAGGCACATCACAGCACTGCTTGTTGCTGTCATTTGAGCCATTAATCCTGTGCATTTCACTTCAGATAGCCGCAGATACTCTTCAGCTTTTCTGCAAAAGACCCAGCATACAAAGCCCTCGTTAACAAAACCACAGTTACAAGACAGTAAGAATGGCAGCACAGGAACTGAACCGAGGTCTACCCAGTCCAGCACCCCGGCTCCAGCAGTGGCTCCAGCACATGCTTAGGGAAAGGGGTGCTAACAGGACGGCAAACACAGGATAATAATCGCTTTTTCTCTAGTAATTTGCAGCAGCAGCTTTGCATTTCAGAGCCTAAAGCCACTCTTTCATTAACCGCATATGCCTTAAGCTTTGTGACTTTTTTCACATCGACCAGAACCAAA